TTTGCTTGTTTCTCCGGCTGCGGATCGCGGAACGCGGATTTAGCCGCGAGCCTGTCACTGCGGCGCGGTACGAGTCTTGACGAAGCTTGGGCCAGCATCAGCGTTCCCTGTAGCGGGTCCGGCAAGAGGTGAAGAAGGCCGGGGGGATGTACTCGACGCGATGCTGCTTTGCCCCACTGTGGGCTTGGGCCTTGGTGTCGTCTGCCCCATAGTGTCGAAGGCCTGTGACGATTGGGTGGGCTCAACGAGCGCAGGCATCCATACTCGGTCTCTTCCCCGGACATTTGGGCTTGGCCCATAGGCTCAAGCTGCGCCTGTCTTCGCCTGCGACGGTCGCCGGGGCCGGCTCAAGCTTAGCGCAAGAGGACCCAAGAATGCGCTCGGCAAACGGCGAGCCCCAGATCTGCCCCAGCATCCCCTTGAGCCCGAGGAGGACCTTGTACTTGAGCGAGCCGGCTGAGGCCATGGATTGCCGGTGCCACCTCCTCGAGGTCATCTCGGCAGTTGAACTGCACGAGGAAGTCCTCCGGCGAGTGGCGACTGACGATGAAGGCGTCCGCCGGCATGTTGTAGAACGACTGGAGTTGGTCCCGCACCTGCGCCGGCGAGACAGTCGGGCGATTGCCACCCACCATAGACACGAGCGCGAGCGACGTGAGGGCGGATTCGGCCTCGTTGAGCTCCGCTGTGCGGGGTAGAAGCAGCAGCTCCAAACGAGGGCGGCGGGAGGCGTGTCCGGGGGGCGGTGGTGGAGGAGGCGAGGGAGGCCTCTGCGACGGCGCGTCCATGTGCGGTGGCGAAGGGGATGGACTGCGGCGTTCAGGAGCATGACGCTCCGAGTCAAAGTGGGGCTGGCACACCGGGGAGACGGAGGTCTCCCGGCCCGTGGAGAAGGAATGCCCAGACACCGTGCTTGACAAAGAGATGTAGCCGTCAGGGCGGCGCACGCGGCGACGTGGGGGTTCCATGGCGCGGGGCTGGCCGGAAGGAGATCGATGGCGCCTGTAGTTCCGTGCCCGGTGCGCTGTGCTGTGATAGTGGTAGCACCGCGATGGGAGATTGCAGTGCGCGTGAACGTGGTCGTAGTCTCGTAGAGGCAGTTGAAGCAGCGCCCGACGAACTCCGGAGGGACCGGCCGCAGCTGGTGAGGACGCTCGACGTTGGAGCGGTGCCACCGACGACGACTCTGCACCATCGTGAATCCATCCTTGTCCACGGGCAGGGGCGGATCTAGGATTTTGGGTCACTGATGTCAATATAAAATTATCAACTTATGACAACGACTTATAGTGAACAGTAATACATAAACAAGTGAAAATAGCAGTCTGGAATTGTTTCTAGAAACAATAATAAATATTTACCTCTTAAAGAAGCATTTTCCGATTGCGATTTTCCATCTTTTGAAAGCGATCAATTATAACATTGTCCGGGATTGTCGCTAGAAACTCTGGCTCAACAAAGCAAATGATGCAATCATTCATAAACTTGTTGCCAATACGATTACGCGATATCGTCTTCACAGTTTTCATGGCCGAGAAGCACCTCTCCACAGATGCAGTGGCAACAGGCAAAACAAGTACTAGCTTTAGGAGCTGATAGACTAATGGAAAAGCAAGATGCTTCTTTGTATCCACCATCAGTTTAGCAAGTTCTGTAATAGTATTCAATCCTGAAAACCTTTCATCAGCTCGCACATTGTCAATGTAAATAGGCAGCTTATGAGCAAGATCCTTTAATTGATCAGGGCTAAAATCATCAGGATAGAGTTTAGCCAATTCCAATAAGCTCTCCAATTTGAAATCAGCAAAAGAATCTTTAGGACTAAAAGCAGCCATGAAAGTGAGCAAATTAGAATTTGTTTCACCAAACCGATCATTGAACTCTGTAAGTAGCATATCCACAACTGAGTTCAAACAATCCCATCTGTAGTTCTGATAATTGGTTCGGTTTGTCTTTTTCCTTGGTTTATGGCGATCAACATACTCTTCTTCCATGTCCAACTTAGGAATACCATGCTCTTCACAAAAGGAATATATTGTCTCTAATAAAGATTCCCATCCATCATCTCTAATCTGCTGGAATTTTTGCTTGGTTAACTTTACCTCTGACATGGCCTCCAATATATCCTGATCTTTCCTTTGCAAATAAAGTGACAAAGAATTTGCATGCCCCAATATAATTAACATCAAGTGTAAATGAAACACAAAATCAAAATCCTTGAGATAATCTAGGAGACCACGCGCTTGCGCCGCTCTTCTTATCATTAGGGCCATCTTTTTTCACATATTGAAGAACTTCAATAATAGAAGGAAACAAGCTGTTAAGACTCTTAAGGGTCTTATAGTGAGAGCACCAACGAGTGTCTCCAGGTCTTTGAAGAGATTGTTCCTGATTCAGTCCTGTTCCAGTACAAATCTGTCCACTCCCTATTGCTTTCTTCACCCTCTCTTGTTGACTTTGTCGTATCATGTCTTTTCTCTTGCAAGAAGCTCCAGCCACATTAAGAAGAAGAGATATCATGTCAAAGAAATCATCAATGTCATCATTCTTTTTAGCTACTGCCACAATAACTAACTGAAGTTGGTGGGCAAAGCAGTGGACATAATATGCTGAACTATTCTCTCTCATTATCAAAGCTCTCAATCCATTGAACTCACCTCTCATGTTGCTTGCTCCATCGTAACCTTGGCCTCTAACTTGTTTCCAACTCAATTTATACTTGGCAAATAAATCATCAATATTAGACTTGAGACATGCAGATGTTGTCTCGCTGACACGAACAACACCAATAAGTCTTTCTTTGAGTACTCCACATTTGTCAACATACCGCAAAAAACCACAGCCATCCATCTCCTTATGCGAAACATCAATGAGACTCATCGACCAACAGACGAGAATACATCACCACCAATTTCTTCAATGATAGAATTCACTATGACCTGTCTGAAGCACAAAACACATTATAGATCATTTTACTATTACATTGGGTTCAAACATCTTTTGTAAAAAAGAAAATGGGAACCAGAGCCTGAATGGAACCAATATTACCTCTGCAAAGCAATTAGCAATGTCTTTTTGGATTTCGGAGCTACCATCGATGATTTTCAGGAGCATTTCTTAGAACAACCTTCTTTATCTTTTCATTTTGCTCTGCCAAAAGTTTCACCAACTCTAGAAAATTCCCCCTGTTACCGGACTCTTTGCTCTCATCATGACCACGAAAAGCTAATCCTTGATGTAACAGATACCTAACAGCATTTATCGAAGTACTTAGTCGAATAAAATACTCCTCTTTAGCAATATCTCTCTGTCTGCTGAGTGCAAACTCAATGGATTGGCTTGGCCTCAATAAATTGTTGCATCGCTTCACAGCTGCATTGTGATAGCTATTTATCCCTCCTACATGAATGTCTAGTCTTTTTTTAATATTCCATAAAGAAAATCCTTTTGTTACAAATGCATCATTTCCACCCTGTCCTTCAATGCAGTCTCTAAACAGATAGCAGTATAGGCAAAAGGCTTTATCCACCTTCTCACTATACTCAAGCCAATCATATTTTTTAAACCATTCAGGATTAAACCGTCGTGGAACATTTGCTATGATTGATTGCGGATACTTGAAATTAGGTTGTGGTCTATGAGGGCCTCTAATCAAATATCTTCTCCTTATCTCTTCTCGTAGCTTAAGACCAGGATATTCAATTATTCTCTTCCTATCAGCTGGATCATCAAAAAGATCATCTAAATTAACATCTTTTGGTGATAGTATCAAAGAAGGACGACCTGTAGCTGTAGCATTGATGTTTGATGCACCAACATCTCCCTGTGAAGTCCCTTCATCACTGGCCGCTGGTGGTACTTTTCTTTTCAAGAATCGATCCATCAAATTCTTGCTTCCTCTACCTTGCTAGCTGTATAATTAATTAATGGTTAAATTAAATCACCAATCAATAAATTAAAAAAAAACCCCAAGCGAATCAGGATACAGGAAAACCTTACCTGCCTCCTTTGCTGAGTACTGGCCGCCTGAGACGGAGTGAAACGATTGATCACGAGGATTGCGGTTGCAGCCGATGGGGATGACTGATGCTGTTGCCCGCCGCCGGCCGCTCTGGAATGAGGCGACGTCGCGTGCGGCTTCGTCTCGGCGAGTCGCGGAGTCGGCGTCGTTTGTGTCGTTTAAAACCATTTGCAAGCTGCAACCCTTCGTGGAGAAGGAAGCGGAGGCCAAGAGGTTTGGACGGAGGATTCTTTGATGTGGGCTGAGAGCACTGATGTCATTGGAGATTTTGGGCTGCTGTCATCTGATCCAATACAGAGGAGTATACCTGGGCCGGGCCAAATGCCACTGCTGTCACCTGACATCAGTGCCACTATACTGGATCCGCCACTGTCCACGGGTGCGCCTGCCCTGGGAACGTGGTTGAGAGGGGCTGGAGTAGCCGCCGGCGGGTTTTGGGTGGTGGACGTCGGGGCCGGGGTGGCCACCGACGGGGTGGGGAGGAGAGCTCTCTCACCTAGAGAGAGAAGCTCCCTGGTTCCCTGACACGGGACTTAAGGCCCCTTTAGTCCCAAATTCGTAGTCCCGGTTGGAAAACCGAGAGCCCCTTTCTACACTAGTGATAGCCTCCATTTGGTCCTCCGTGTGCTGCAACCGAGCTCAAAAACAAAGCCAATGTGTTGCCTTGAATGAAGATGGTGCAAGCTATAAACCGCGTAAGAGCTGAACAACATATATACTCGATCGTGACCGTCCAATTGTGTGAGACCTTCCTAGTTTAACATGATAGTATGTATATAAAAACAAACTTTTATTAATTATCGTCCTAGGCTCCTAGCTGATGGATGACTAGCGACAAACACCAAATAATCAGTGTGATAATACTCAACGCCTGGTAAATCAGGTATTCCAAAAAAAACGCTTGGTAAAATTGAGCAACGATGGGAAGGCAAGGGAAGGGAATGAACAAGCATAGACGATGAGCGAGCTGTGCTTCCTACTACTGGTCTTTGACGATGAACTTGGCTTTGGCGTCCCCTTCCTGGATCTGGTACATGTCGCCGAGCCCCATGTGCGCCATGAGAAACCAGACGAGGGTGATGAGCTCACCGCCGCGGCTGAGCTGCCGGACGTGCATGCTCCCCCGGCACTTGCCCGCCGCATACATCAGCATCTCACCCCACACCCCCGTGATGACATCCCACATGAGCTCCTCGTCCAGCTCCCGGAGCGCCTTGGCCAGGATGACCCCGTCGAACAGCGCCGACTTGCTCCGGTCGCCCTTCACCACCGATGGCTTCTCCGAGGTGTTCACGCCGAGCAGCATCCTGCGCGCGTCGTCGTGGCCGTCGATCCACGCCTCCATGGATCTGAAGAACCGCCGCGTCTCCTCGCACGTGTCTCCGTATCGGAGCAGGCCGATGCCCGGCGTCGCCGCCACCATGTCCGGCTGCTTGATGAGCAGGTACAGCATGTACTCCGACAGGGTCTCGCCGATGGCCTGCATCTCCATGGTCTTTTGGCTTAGAGTTCCCACAGGCCGCAGGGATAAGGTTTCTCCGCCTGCGTCTCCCGCCGCCGCTGGCACGATGACGTCGTTGGCGTCGTCGAAGTCACTCTGCACCACGCTGTCCAGGATCACCTTGAACTTGTCCTCAACGACCTCGGCCTTCCCATGCCGCGCCGCCTCGTCATTCTTCCCCGGCCTTCTTGATCTCCGTGGCATGGCGCTGGATGACACGCTTGCCACGACAGTTGCACATCTCCATGATGTCCTCCTTCCCTTTCAGCTTCTCCGCCGCTGGCTTGAGGCCGTCGAAGATGAACTTGAGGACAGGGGGCGAGTCCTCACGATCCTGCTTGTCGTCGTGCTTGCGAAGTGGCACGCGGCGGACGAAGACGAAGTCGTCCACGATGTCCTCGACGTGCAGCTTCTCGGCGGCCCTGTGGAGCCACCGCCGTCCGGCTCTGTTAGTACTGTAACTGCCCGGCTTGCCGAGGCAGTAGCGGATGAGGTTCATCTGCGAGACAGTCCCCGACCAGCGCCGCATCTGCCACCGCTTGGTGACCCGCCGCAGCCACGCCAGCCACCTGAGCAGCCGGGACGACTCCTCCAGGTACACCTTGGCGCGGTCGGAGAAGAAGATCATGAGCAGCGCCGCCGCGTCGAGCGCCAGCCCACCCAGCAGCAGCGCGTACGTGATGCCGACGTCGACGCGCTGGATCTGGTGCCCGGGCTTGTCGAGGAAGAAGAAGATGAGCAGCGCGGAGACGAGGCAGGCGGAGCAGACGGAGCGGAGGACCCAGCCGGCCCTGGTGTAGGCGACCGGCGCCTTGGTGTACACCATGTCGTAGATGAAGTTGAGCTCCACCTCGATCACGTCGAACGCCTCGCTCGCCTTCAAGTTTTTGGCGCTTGAGGAAGAAAGCCTGGCACAGGTCCGTAGCTGAGGATGACGTTGACGAAGAGCCGCCAGAAGATGAGGAAGAACTCGTACGCGCGGGCCCCCACGCTCTTGTTGGTGTCCTGCGCCAGCCGCGTCGTCTCTTGCTTCTCCATCTCCTTGCGTGCCTGCTCGGCCTCGCCATCGGCGGCTATGGCGATCTGGACGGCGAGGCCGGCCTTCTCCCTGGAGTCGTACACGGTCATGAGCTTGGCGTAGTTGGGCCCAGGTTCCGGGGGGCCAAGGATCTTCTTGCGGAAGCCGTAGATGCTGCCGGAGTAGAGCTCGAAGAGGAGGCCGACAAGGTTATGGTGTCCGGGCCACCTAGGTGTAGCAGCAGGAACGGCGTCCAGAACGCCAACATCATGTGGCTGTAGTTGTTGCTGTTGGCTGTAATCATGCCGTCGGCCTCGTGTTTAAGGCCGAAGCTCGATACGCCATCGTGCTTAAGGTCAGCTACGGAATCGGCGAGGAGGCAGCAGGACCATAGGTTAAGGCGGGACCATTGTAAAAATGGTTGGAACGTGATGTCCTCTCAGACTCACGGCTTCGTGTTAATATAGCCAGGAAGAGCTCCTAACGTGGCGGTACAACTTGTACAACAAAAAGAAGCTAACTAGTTTGGTAACTCAAGATTACATCAATCAGGAGATACCTATCCTATCTAACCGAAGCCGAGATACTTGCTTTCACCCGCAATCCAAGCCTGAGCGCACAACCAATCTTCAGGAGATATCAATCAACCAGATATATCAATCAACCAGATATTGCGGTCATGCGATCCTATTGGATATTCTTAACATCCACCTCAATCACAACTTATCGGCAAGGTTGAGATTGTCTATGAACATGACCATTTGCTTCTCTGGAAGAGGCTTAGTGAAGCCATCGGCGATCTGATCCGTAGTGCTGATGAATCTGCTGTCCAGGCGCTTTGCTGCAACTTGTTCGCGTACAAAATGAAAATCGATCTTTATATGCTTGGTGCGTGCATGAAATACAGGGTTAGCCGATAGGTACTTTGCGCCCAGATTATCACACTATAAACATGCTGCCAAAGGATGTGGAATACCTAACTCATCAAGTAATTTTTGTACCCACATTACCTCTGCAGTAGCGTTGGCCAAAGAATTGTATTCAGCTTCTGTACTTGATCTTGAAACCATAGGCTGTTTTCTTGCGCACCATGACACTAGGTTGCAACCTAGGAATACAGCAAAGCCGCCTGTAGATCGTCTGTCATCAGGGCAACCGGCCCAATCAGCATCTGAAAAGCCACTTACAAGGATAGAGTTAGATTTTCTAATTTTTAACCATAGGCCGATTGTTCCTTGTACATATCTCAATATTCTCTTCACAGCTTCCCAATGAACGATCGTCAACGAGTGAAGGAATTGACAAACTTTGTTGACCAAAAAAGACAGATCTGGTCGTGTGAGGGTGAGATACTAGAGAGCTCCAACAATGCTCCTGTATCTGGTTGAGTCATCTACTCCTAACCGAGTGTCACTAGTGACCGAAAGCTTTTTGGTAGTATTAAGGGGTGTTTTGACGGGTTTACACAGCTGCATATTAACTCTCTTGAGGATATCAGAAGCATACCGTTCCTGTGTCAAAAGCAATTCACCTTTCTTTCTTTGAACCTGTATGCCAAGAAAATAGTGAAGGTTCCCAAGATCTTTGATTGCAAAGTCCTTCTCTAAATCTTGGAGAAGAGCATCCACTGCTTTCTGTGATGAACTGGCCACAATTATATCATCAACATATACAAGCATAAAGATGACATGATTTTCTTTTCGATAAAAGAATAATGATGTGTCAGCTTTGGAGGGAACAAAGCCTAGACTTTGAAGTTTACCACACAACCTAGAATACCAGGCCCGTGGTGCTTGTTTTAAACCATACATGGATCTGTTAATTTTGCATAAGTGATGTGGTTTGGTCTTATCTTCATAACCTGGCGGTTGTTTCATGTATACCTCTTCTTCAAGGAAACCATACAAGAAAGCGTTCTGAACATCGAGTTGCCTCAAACACCAATCCTTAGACATAGCTAGAGAGAGCACAAGACGAATTATGGCTACTTTCACAACAAGACTAAAAGTATCCTCATAATCAATGACATATCGTTGTTTGAACCCCTTTGCTACTAGGCGTGCCTTATATCTGTCAATTTTCCCATCTGATCTTTTTTGATTTTATAGACCCACTTGTAATCTATCACATTCTTACCTTTTTGAGGTGGAACTAGATGCAAGTTTTATTTCTGATCAATGCATCAAATTCAACATCCATAGCATGCTTCCAATTATTATCGACTAAGGCATGTTGTAAATCAAGAGGACCTTCAGTGGTGGCTGCTAACTGACCATATCGAATAGTTCCATCAATGTAAATTTTTGGTTTGCGTATATCTTGTTGTAGACGTGTGGTGGGTCGCTGGAGAGCCGGTGCTGCAGGCGATGTAGAATATCTGGTGGGTTGATCTGTTGATCTCCGTGGGTTGATCTGTGGCGCGCAGAAGATCCGGCGACGAACCTAAGGTCCGGGTTGAAATGATCTGGTTGTCCATGAGAAGATCCGCAAGGCGGACCCAAGGGAGAGATTCTCCACCACCGGTCGAAATATCATCCGTCCCACCGTCTCCGTGACGCAGCGAGGCGAGTTCGAGACAGGTGGCGCACGCGAAGAGGATGCCGGTGGAGCTGACGCGTTCGTCACAAGCACAGGAGCTGACGCCGCCGGATCCAAGACCGATCCTGTCGGCTCCGCAGTGGAAGGTGCAGGTGAATCAGCCTGGGGATCGCCGCCTATTCCTGCCAAAACGGGAAATTGCTCGGGGAGCATGAAATGACGCCCGTTTCCAGCCAGATTTAGTTCGTTTGATGTCGAATTTTTTTCATGTGCTGCACGCTTAGACATAGGGTTAGTATGCAGGGAATCATTATCAAAATGATCTGAATAATTGTTGTCCCCAAAATCATGTGAAGGATTTGTCGAAGTTGGAGGAAGGAGGAGAATTTCATATCATAATCGAGCACCGGCGTTTGGGTGGAGTTCAGCGAAGGGGAAGACGTGTTCATCGAAGACCACATCTCGGGAAATATAGACACGCCCTTCATTGACATCCAGACACTTGAACCCCTTGTGTATGTTACTGTATCCTAGGAAGACACCGCGTTTGGAGCGGAATTGCAACTTGCGAGCGTTATAAGGCCGTAGATTCGGCTAGCATGTGCAGCCAAAAGTACGAAGAGAGGAGTTTGGTTATTGATAATTTTACTAGGGAGGCGATTAATAAGATAGGTGGCAGTGATGAAAGCTTCATCCCAAAATTTTAAGGGCATAGAAGCATGGGTTAAAAGCGAGAGACCTACTTCAATAATATGGCAATGTTTGCATTCAGCGGAGCCATTTTGTTGATGTGCATAAGGGCATGAGACATGATGCGAGATGCCAATGCGCTGAAAGAAGGCATTCAACTTTTGATATTCCCCTCCACAGTCAGTTTGCATAGCAAGAATTTTTCTATCAAATTGGCGTTCTACCATAGCTTGGAATTCATGAAATTTTTGAAAAACTTCAGATTTATGATGAAGCAAATAAATCCATGTAAACTTGCTAAAATCATCAATGAAGCTAACGTAATAACTGTTTTTGCCAACAGAAGTGGGCGCAGGACCCCATACATCAGAAAACACAAGTTCTAAGGGACTCAATGAGATACTCGTGGATCTAGGATAGGGTAGCTGATGACTTTTGCCCTTTTGGAAAGCATCGCAAACAGTTTCTTTATTCAAATCGGCAACAAAGGGAATACTATTTTTGCTAAGGACTTGCTGAAGGACTACAAAAGAAGGGTGGCCGAGACGACTATGCCAACTGGACGAAGAAAACTTGGCAGCACCAAACGCCCCTTTATTCGATGACGGCCTAGACTTCAGCGGGTAGAGGCCGCCTTCACATTCCCCTCTAAGGATGGTTTTCTTCGTCGCTTGGTCCTTAATCAAAAAATAGTTGGGATGATATTCAATAAAAGCATGGTTATCGGATGTAAGACGATGAATAGATGCAAGGCTTTTGTTAGCTTCAGGAACATAAAGAACATTGTTTAGGACGAGATTTTGATTTGGGGTACGAACAAAACTTTGACCAATTTGATTGATTCTCATACTTGCGCCATTAGCAGCATGAACCTTGTCTCTCATGGTGAGCTTCTCCAGCTCTCTCGTGATGTGGTCGGTAGCACCAGTGTCAGTGTACCAGTTGGTGTCGATCACATATGACGCAGAGGAGGCAGATCGGGATTGCTCTGGTGGGCCGGTGAAGGAAGCATCAAAACGCTTGAAGCAGTGGAGTCCGGTGTGGCCCTCCTTGCCGTAGAGCTGGCAGATGGGTTTATCGCCGTTGTAGTTCTGTCGGGGGCGCCCGCTGTTGTTGTTGTTGCCACGGTTGCGGCCGCGCCCGCGTCCTCTGCCACCACCGCCGTGGTTGAAACCTCCACGGCCTCCATGTGTAGCCATGTTAGCAGATGAACCGGATCCACCGTGCAGGAGATCCATCCACTATCCCTAACTCACTAGCTGGGTGTAGAGCTCGTCCAAAGATAGCGGCTCCGTGCGCGCCGCGACAACCGAGACAATCGGATTAAAATCCATGTCAAGTCCGGCTAGTACATAGGAGATGATCTATTCATCTTCAAGACGTTTGCTGGCGGACGCCATGTCGTCAGCAAGAGATTTCATCTTGTTGAAGTAGTCGGCGATTGTTGACGAGCCCTTCTGCGCTGTGGCCAACGCCATGCGCGTGTTGATGATACGGCCCCGAGACTGGGAAGCCGTCATCTCTGAGATCACTTTCCAGATCTCGGCCGATGTGGCGCAATTGGAGACTTGCACCTGGATCTCCTTGGAGATATTGGAGAGCAGATAGTTAACGATATGTTGGTCCTTCACAACCCAAGTTTCATACTCAAGGTTGGGGATGAGCTCAGTCGGCTTGTCGGCCGCCTTGGGGATCTGCTTCGCCGGCACCACAATGTCGGGCTCGAGATAGTGCGCTATCTGCGCACCGCGAAAAGTAGACAGCACCTGGGCGCTCCATAGGGGAAAATTCCCTTTGCCCAGCTTCTCGGTGACGGGACAACCGATCAGAGAGAACGATTGTTGAAGCGCGAAAGAGGAAGCCATCGAGAATATTTTGGACTAACCTAGCTCTGATTACCTTGTAAAAATGGTTGGAACGTGATGCCCTCTCAGGCTCACGGCTTCGTGTTAATATAGCTAGGAAGAGCCCCTGGCGTGGTGGTACAACTTGTACAATAAAAAGAAGCTAACTACTTTGGTAACTCTAGATTACATCACAAGATTACATCAATCAGGGGATACCTATCCTATCTAACCGAAGCCGAGATACTTGCCTTCACCCACAATCCAAGCCTGAGCGCACAACCAATCTTCCGGAGATATCAATCAACCAGATATATCAATCAACCAGATATTACGGTCATGTGATCCTATTAGATATTCTTAACAACCATGTGGCGGAGGACCGCCGCCGCGTGGGGCCGAGGAAGATGAGGAGGAAGCTGAGCAGCACGGCCACCTGGACCTCCCAATTGTCGTCCTGCCGTCCCCCATCACCACCGCCGGCCGCTGCGAGAGGCACAATGCACGCTGTGCTTGGTTGGTGGTGGTGCTGGCTCCTGTGTGTGTCTCCATCATTAGGCACATAACAGGTGTGTAGGGTAGCAGGAAATGGAATAATACATTGCGTGTGTGCATGCATGCACCACCTTGCATTGCAATTTGCAGACGAGATGTCGGTGATGCTAACTAGCTTGTTGGCGACACCGCTACTCCTAGCTTCGGTGGAACAAGTCCTTTTCTGCCTCTTGCGAGAGACGGATCGGAGAAAGGGCACTAAAGTGCATCAACAAGCTAGCTTGCACTGCAAGCAATTTATCATTCTCCCACAGGCCGCGTATGAAGCCAAATAAATTTTTTGAAGCTCATCAGACATCAAAATATCTCTAAAAACTTCCAACATTTAGATTTAGCTATAGAAGAATGGGAAAATATCGAAAAACATCTAGAAAATTCATCAAACATCCTAATAAACATCTAAACATACTTTGAAAACTTTCACAATAAAAAACAAGTTGCAGCCAGCACGAATGCAACTAATAACGTTACTGTATGTTACATCTGATGTTTTTGTTGTGGAAAGTTTTCAAAATGTGTTTAGATATTGATTAGAATGCTTTGAAAGGTTTCTAGATTTTCCCCGATATTTTTCCATTTCTCTAGACCTCAATCCAATTCTTCAAAGCTTTCAAAGCTAATTTCAAGGACACTCCAAATATTTTATTTAGGTACCTCTTGTCTAATATCTATATCTTTATATATACCTAATATTAAAGAGAGAATGGATTCTTTGGTCAGTCTTTCTTTACATCCCACAATGCCCTTATGCCCCTCCCTTCCTCGTATGTAACGTTGACCCACGGCACGTGCCCATACGAGTTAGAACGACGTCCGTCCAACGATATATGGTACAAAGTCTAATTCCAATGCAAGATGCATCAAGCGACGTACAGAGTTCAATTCAAAAACGTATCGGAACATATGAAGATTTCGTTGAATAAATCATCGAGCCATAAATTTTCTAGGCGACCACTCAAGAAGTTGTTCATTATGATGTAATGCACGGGCGCATTTGCTAGTATCTATAATGTTTTTCTTGAATTTTTTGGAGGTTTGAAGATATTTTCTGTGGTTTAAAAAACTCATCTAGTGTTTATCAGATTTCACTACTACAAATTTTTTATTGGAGGCCGCCGTTTTCGGTTTACCAAGGCAGGCAACGCATCCGCCTCGGTCCAAAGGTCGCCATAAATCACATTTTTCCTAGTCCGTCAGAGTGCCCGCCTCGGTAAATCAATTAAAAAATAAAAAATGAAAGCCCACCTGCGAGCCTGTTTCGGAGCTCACCGTCGAGCCCGACTGCTCCGCGTGGCCCCACCACCACCGGCGGCCTCCCCATGCACGCCGCAGCCGGATCCGGCTCCTCTGCGCGCCCCGCTGTCGGATCCGGCTCCTCCGCTCGCCCCGCCATCGGATCCAGCTGGAGGGCATGCCGCCGCTGCGCCCGTGCCGTCGCTGGAGGGTGTCTCGTCATGCACCGCCGCGTGGGGAAGAGGGGGTGCGCCGCCGTGTGGGGGAGAGGGAGGGGTTACGCGGGGAGAGGGAGGGGCTCGGATGAGAGGGAGGAGGCCGGGCTCAGAGGGGAGGGAGGGGCGGCACGGGAGAGAGAGGAATGGGCCGGCGCAGTCGCGTGGGGCAGAGGGGCGCGAGAGAGAGAGATGAGAGGGAGAGGCTGTGAAACCCTAAGTGCTGATATTTATATAAGCCCGATAGGAAGTTCTATACGGGCTTTGGTTGGGCCTCGCCACATTAACACAGGCGGGCTTCTTCTGTAAATCGATTTTAAGAGACGGTTATTTTTTGACCGCCTTCGTTAATCGTAAGCATTTTACGAGGCGTTGGATTGTTTGACCGCCTCGATTAATAAAAGAGCACCGCCTCGTAAAATCATTTGTGTAGTAATGTTTGTTTCCGAAATAAAAAAGAGTGACGTGGATCGAAACCACTTTTAGCTATTACAGGGGATGTAATTTGTTTGGTTTTGAAAATTGGAAGATGTAAGATGTCTAAACGAATGGTGCATGAAGATATGGGCAAGTGCACCATATATAGCTTGAGGTCATAACCAAGAAATAATGCAAGACATGAACACTACTACAAAACCACAAAACATTGCCGATTGTAAAACCTACATCGCGCGGTATCAGTTTTCAAAACCGATGGTTGACAATCGTCAGCATTTTGCAAAAAAAAAAAAAAAATGAAAAAAATAGCAAATGTCGAGGGCTCGCCTCATAGCACCATGCTATCCGGCGTTCTGCGCCGTAGGCCTTCAAGCCCCATTTGGATGATGAAGCAACAAATTCATCCAGACTCTTGGTAGAGTCCACAAGAACCCACACTTAGGCTCTGTTCGGCTAGCTGGAAAAACGACTGATGCTGATGCTAATTTGTTATGAGAGAAAAACACTATTATTTTGCTGAAAAGATACGGCTGATAAGTTCAAGCAAACAGGGCCTTAATGCTTAGCACCGTCAGGCCTTGCATGCCGTCAGGCTTTGAGCGTCACCGAGCCCCGCACCCCGTGCCTTGCGTCACAGGGCTTGATCTATAGGCCTTGCACAACTGTACCCGCATCGTCGAGCCCCGCACCCCAGGCCACCATGCCATTTGGATCCGAGAAGAAGAGAGCGTCGGGGAGAGAATTATGTGTGAGAGAGGTGAGTGCGACGGATTTGAGGAGTTAACCGGTTTGAGGGGCAGAGCTGATCGAGGTCAGGATAGCTAGATTTTATTTTATTTTTGGGTTCAAACACTACACACCACTATCGGTTTAATCTGGCAGTGGTCACTACCCCAGATCTGGACATCACTGCCGGTTCAAAAACCCACTTCACTGTCGGATTTTGAACCGACAGTGGCATACCGGTAGTGATGTGGGATTGACATCACTGCCGGTCCTTAAAAACCGACACTAATCTACAGGAAACAGTGTCAGTTCCTGGCTCCACCCGACAGCGTCCAGTTGAACAACACTACCAGTTTGTAGTGCCAACCGACAATGACGGTTGCTTGAAGAGTGTCGGTTCTTGGTTCAAGTCAGCAGTGTTGTGCAAGCCTACACTGTCGGTTTGTGGATCAAACCGGCAGTGTTGTCGTAAACATCAGTGTCGGTTGATGGATCAAACCAGCAGTGTTGTCGTAACCATCAGTGTCGGTTCATGGTTCAAGCCGGTAGTGTTGACCAAACCTACATTGTTGGTTCATGGATCAAATCGGCAGTGTTGTTATAACCATCAGTGTCGGTTGATGGATCAAACCGACAGTGTTGTCGTAACTATCAGTGTCGGCTTGTTGCTAACCGGCGGTGATGGCCCGTTCGTATTTTATTGTTTTATAATTTATTTCAATTTGTATTTTTTCGTGAAATCGGGTTTCGCTTTATATACGCTACCTAGACGACATGTCCATCAATATTAAACATTACAAATGTTACGGTTATAATTCAAATGTTCTTATCCAGATCTCGACCTCTCAAAATAAAAAAGAAATGTACATCACTGCCGGTTTTAGCCGAGCCCATAACCGGCAGTGAAGATACATCACTGCCGGTTCTCACAAATCTGGCAGTGATGATACCGACAATGATGTACAAATCTGGCGTAGTGGGTACTAACATTATCGGTTGATTGAGAAACCTGGCAGCGATATCCTTTTTTCCTTTATAAACAGCACTATCACAGGTGGTTTTAAAACAACAGGTAGTGATTTAGTTTTTGTAGCAGTGGTAGGACAAATATTGTTTATGGTGGAACAAGTACTTTTGGCCGCCATAAACACTAACGCAAGCATCGATTTCAGGGAAGGACATGAGAGTGAAAAGAATGAATGAAGATGGTGCAAGCTAAACTTGAATAAGAGCTGAACAACATATATACTAGCCGTCCAATTGTGTGAGTCGCCTTCGGAGTTTAGCATATATAATAGGGTGTATATAAAAACAAACTTTTATTATGGTCCTAGCTGATGCTGATGGATTACTAGCGACAAGCAAACAGCCAGATAATCAGTGTGATAATACTCAACGCTTGATAAATGAGCAACGATGGAAAGGGAAGGGAAGGGAATGAATGAACACGCATATATAGAAGATGAGCGAGCTGAGCTTCCTACGCTACTACTGGTCTTTGACGATGAGCTTGGCCTTGGCGTCCCCTCCTGGATCTGGTACATGTCGCCGAGCCCCATGTGCGCCATGAGGAACCAGACGAGCGTGACGAGCTCGCCGCCGCGGCTGAGCTGCCGGACGTGCATGCTCCCCCGGCACTTGCCCGCCGCGTACGTCAGCATCTCCCCCCACACCCCCGTGACCAGCTCCCACATGAGCTCCTCGTCCAGCTCCCGGAGCGCCTTGGACAGGATGACCGCGTCGAACAGCACCGACTTGCTCCGGTCGCCCTTCACCTCCGCAGGCTTCCGTGTGGTGTTGACGCTGAGCAGCATCCTCCGCGCGTCGTCGTGGTCAGGGTTCCACGCCGCCATGGAGCCGAAGAACCTCTGCGCCTCCGCGCGCGTGTCCCGGTAGCGGAGCAGCCCGATGCCCGCCGTCTCCGACAGCATGTCGGGCTGCTTGATGAGCAGAGCATGTACTCTGACAAGGTCTTGGCGATGGCTCGAAACCGTGGGGTGTCTTTCGTCGACGCGACTTGCTTGTCCTTGTGGCGGCACAGGTCGGTGGCGATGTGCCACAGCAGCAGGGACTCGTCGAAGTCCTTGCTCGTCACGCTGTCCATGATGAGGTCGAACTTGGCCTTCGTATCGGCGTCGCCGTCACCCGTGAGCCTTTCGTTGATCTTCTGCGCAAGGCGGTCGACGACACCCTTGCCCCGGTGGCTGCACACCTCCATGATCTTTTTCTTGTCATGCAGCTTCTGAGCCAAGTCTTTGAGACCATCGAAGATGAAGTCCAATAGACGTGACTCCTCCGTTTCGTCCTCCTTGTCGTGTACACCCGACTTATCGCAGCACCTGGGAACAAGTGGCTTGATGAGCTTCTCCCGGATGCACCTGCCAAAGCTGCGAAGCCAGCTGCAGAACTTGTTCTTGTCCCTCTTGTTGAGCCTAACGCGGCGTATGAAGACGAAGTCGTCGACGATGTCGTCGAGGCCCAGGAAGTGGGCGACCATGCTGAGACAGAGACAGCACCCGGCATGGGCAGGCTTGCCCAGGGAATGGGTGATGAGGTTCAGCTGCGAGGTCTTCCCCGACCATCGCCGTGTCTGCCACCGCTTGCTGACCTTCCTCAGCCTCGCCAGGCAGCCCATCAGTCTCTTCAGCCATCCCAGCCGCGACTGCTGCTCCAGGTACACCTGGGCGCGGTTGGAGAAGAAGATCATGAGCAGTGCCGCCACGTCGAGCGCCAACCCGCCCAGCCAGCAGCGCATACGTGATGCCGACGTCACTACGGGATACACGAGCTTTGCCTGTTAGATTGATCTCAATCCCAAACTGGACCCAACGGCCCAGTTGGGCCTTTGATTCGCGCCCTGATCGGGGGCGCCCAGCCCACTATGGCTGGAGGGCCCCTGTCACACCTGCAAGAAATAGAGGTGGGGGCGGCGGCTCAAGTCACGAGGTTCGCTTGAGCCGAACTCCCCACCGACAAACCCTAAACCCGATCTAAGTGAGGGGCACAGCCAGTGAAGGGAAGTACCTCCACCACTGCACTGCACCGTCATCGATCTTCACCGCCGGCACCGCATCTCCGACCCGTCTTCCCCGACCGTCGCTGCCCGTGCGTAGACTTCACCAACGAACCCGATGGTGACCTCTGAACCCTCCCCCTCCACGGTGTCAGGTTCGTCAGACCTCATCCACCCCTCTCTGTCTCTCTCATTGCACTAGAACGTGTTCTAGGTTTTTGATTCATCCAGTAAATGTTTAGCACCCCGGTTAGATCTACTCCTAGACGATCCGAATAGTCTAATAATGGTATCAGAACCATCGGTTTCTAGGGTTTTAGATCTAGAACGGGTAAACCGATTAGAAAAGGAAGTAGAAGGTTAGATCCAGTGCGGGTCTAACAAGAACAGAGGGTTCGGTTGAACCCTAACCATAACTGGGTTAAGGAAAGGAGAAAAAGAAGAGGGTTTCGGCCTTAAGAACGTAAGAGCCGAACCCTAAACCCGTGAAGATTTCATGGGGAAGATGAACAGTGGAACCCTAACCCTAACTTTCGATCCCCATACCAAATCGGTTGAATCCGAACAGAAACAGAGAAGAAATTAGAGGGGGATGTTGGGAAAGGGGAGTCCTACCTCGCCGCTGCGCAGCGCTGCTGTCTCGCCGGCGCGCGGAGAGAAGAAGGCCGAGCCGGGGGCGTTGCTCGCCGGGCTCTGGCCAAAGAGGCGCCATGGCCAGGCCGCTCAATGGCGGCACGCTCACCCGCTAGGGAGCGCACACGCCGGCGAGGGAGCCAGCGATGGCGCCATGGCTGCCCGCTCCACCGTCGTCGCTCTCGGTTGCTCGCTCGGTGCTGCTGTGCTGAGGAGAGAAGAGGGAGCGATGAAGAGAGAGAGAGCAAAGTGCAAAATGCTGCTAGGGTTACGGGGAGGCAGCCGGGCGTTGGTTTTGATCCTGCGACTTCACCGCGCAGCCGTCGGATGGAAACGGACGGCGCCGGTTGATCCGGCCGACTCGCGGCCCAGGCGGGTGAGCGCGCCGTGCGGCTTTGTTGGCCCAGGCCCAGGTTGCGGCCTGAGTGCGGGCAGCGCGCGCGGAGAGAAGTTGGGCCAGGCCGTTTTGCCGGCTAGGTCGAAGGAACAGTGCTGAAATGAATCAGTTTTCTCTTTCCTTTTTTCAGTAAATGTTTATTTCCTAGAATTTGATTAATGGCTTAAAGAAAATAGAAAAGAGATTGATCCTGTGGGCAAAATTCATTAAATTAAATTATTTTTCCACTGCGTATTTAAAGATGTAATTATCATTATTAAATTCGAACCAACGGGAGAATTTAATTTTGAAAATGGATATATTTTTAATTGATTATAATATTGTTATTATTCTGATCAACGTTGATTAATAGCAATATTATGATGTTATTATGATGTTTTTGTCATGCATTAATTCTATTTCTGCCCAACGGTGATGTAGAATTAGTGTGGAGGACAATTGTATGTTTTAATTTTAACCAACGTTGAAACTAAGGCATGCAATTGTTATTGTTATTATTTATGTTCTCACTCAATATGAATTGTGTTTTCAGGCGAATACAACTTAATGGGTTGTATCAAAGAGATCTCCACTCTCAAAGGTGACAACTATACGGAGTGGAAGAAAAAGATAGACCTGGCCTTCATCTTGGCTGAGGTGGACTGGGTAGTCACCTCACCGTGTCCCACTGAGCCTGTGGCACCGGTGAGGGAAACAAACGAGGCTGATGCCGCTTGAGCAACCAAAGAGAGGGATTTTGCATCACAAAAGATATCATATGACCTTAAGCATAGAAAGTGGGTCACTGCTAACAAGAAATATTTGGTTGTGATAAAGAACACGATTGAGCCTGCAATTGTGGGCTCAATACCAGAGTGTGACACCGTCACCGAGTACCTCGAGTGGATAAAGAGTCAGTTCACTTGCTCTTTAAAGACATATGCTACCCAGCTGATAAAACAGCTGGTGACAGAGAGGTACTCTGGTAATGATGGCATAAGAGAGCATGTACTAAGGATGAGCAATCTGGCATCCAAGCTAAAACCAATGGATCTGGCTCTCAAAGATGAGTTCCTTATCCATCTGATTTTTGCTTCTTTGCCAAAGGAGTTTGACACTTTTGTTGTTAACTACAACATACAGCCCGAGAAGTGGGATTTAGAGAAGCTCATGGTTATGTGTGTGCAAGAGGAGGAGAGAATGAAAGCTACCAATAGTGGCACTATCAATTATCTGAAAGACAACAAGAAACAGAATAATAATGCTAACTTTTCCTCAAAGTCAAAGGGAAAGGGTCACATGCTGCATAAGCCTCAGCAGAACCAGTTCACAGTAGAGAAAGATCAGTGTCTCTATTGTAAGAAGACGGGACATTATAAGAAAAATTGCCCCGATTACTTAAAGATGATCATGGCAAGGAAAGGTGAGAACATTATTACGTTCATAAATGAATCCTTGTATGTACAGTATTCGAAATCTACTTGGTGGATTGACTCAGGTGCAACTGTTCATGTTGCTAATTCTTTACAGGGATTCCGTTCGACGAGGACTACGGAAAGAAACGAAAGACACGTTAAAGTTGCAAATGGAGTCCGAGCAGATGTCGAAGCCATTGGCGATCTTTCTCTAGAGCTTGTTGATGGCTTCACACTTTTACTTAGAGATGTTCTTTATGTTCCCTTTTTATAGAGAAACTTGATTAGTGTTTCATGCTTGGACAATGATGGATATGATTGCCATTTTGGAAATGGCAAATATAAGATAACATTTAATAATGCATGTGTTGGTCTTGCTATCTTACAAAATGAGCTTTATTTGTTATCACTACGTGATGATGTGAATGTTGTATGCGATGATGGGAACGTTGCGTGCGACAATGAGAATGTATCCTCGTCTGTGGATGTAAATAGAAAACGAAAGAGAGCTCACGATGCGTTGTCGAAATTATGGCACTGTCGTTTAGGCCATATTTCAAGGGGGAGAATAGAAAGACTAGTCAAGAATGAAATTCTTCCTCCATTAGAGCTCTCAGATTTAGAACAATACAGAGAATGCATAAAAGTAAAGTATGTAAAGAAAATTAAGAAAGATGCCAAACGAAGTGCAGGAATTCTACAGATTATTCACACAGACATCTGTGGTCCATTTCCTATAAAGAGTGTGGATGGTTATGATTCGTTCATAACATTCACAGATGATTACTCCCGTTATGGCTACATTTATCCAATCAAAGAAAGAACAGAAGCATTAGATAAATTTAAGATATTTAAGGCAGAAGTTGAAAGCCAACACAATTTAAAGATTAAGATAGTCAGGTCCGACTGTGGGGGAGAGTACTACGGTCGGCATACCCTATATGGCCAAGTTCTTGGACCTTTTGCAAGGTTCTTATAGGAGAGTGGCATAGTAGCCCAGTATTCTACACCGGGAGAACCTCAACAGAATGGAGTAGCTGAAAGACGCAATCGTACCTTGATGGATATGGTGTGTAGTATGATAAGTTACTCCACCTTACCATTGAGCCTGCGGATGGAGGCGTTAAAAAACCGCCATTCATATTCTCAATAGAGTACCAAGTAAGTCGGTGCCCAAAACACCGTATGAGTTGTGGACAGGAAGAGTACCCTCACTAAACCACTTACGTGTGGGGGGTTCTACTAAGGCTAAAGTATTTAACCTAAACATTGGGAAGCTAGATCCCAAAACAGTAAGTTGTCATTTCATTGGTTACCCAGAAAAGTCAAAAGGTTTTCGTTTCTATTGTCCAGACAGACATACAAAGTTTGTAGAAACGAGACACGCTGTCTTCCTAGAGGATGAAATGATGAGGGAGAGCAGGGTAGCTCGAGAAATTGACCTTGAAGAGAAGTGGGTGTATGCACCCACTCCGATGATTCATGAGCCATTTTTCTCACTACCTGCTGTCGCTGCACCGACAGTACAAGATACTATGATTTCAGCACCTGTTGTTATTCCGTCTGTGGCAACAATGAATGACGATGAGGAACCTGTTCTTCAGGATCCTATAGAACCAATTGCCACACATGAGGGGGAGCAACATCAGCCTCAAACAGAAGATGTGCCAAATATGGAGGCCCCTAGAAGGTCTCAAAGAGTTAGAAAATCAGCTATTCCTGCTGACTATGAAGTGTACAACACTGAGGAATTTCAAATAGAGGATGATCCCACCTCATTTGAAGAAGCCATGAGAAATGATCATTCATCAAAGTGGCTTGAGGCCATGGAAGATGAAATAAAATCTATGAATGCCAATAAAGTTTGGGATTTGGAAATAATTTCTAAAAGAGCCAAAACAGTAGGCTATAAATGGTTCTACAAAACAAAACTTGACTCTCAAGGGAATATAGAAAGATATAAAGCGTGACTTATGGCAAAAGGCTTTACGTAAAGATAAGGGATTGATTACAATGAGATCTTTTCTCCAGTCTCATGTAAGGATTCCTTCAGAATCATAATGGCATTAGTGGCACATTACGATTTAGAATTACATTAGATGGATGTAAAGACGGCATTTCTCAACGGGGACTTAGAGGAAAATGTTTACATGGCACAATCGAAAGGTTTTGTCATGGAAGGAAAAGAACGAATGGGATGCTGTCTAAAGAAATCCATTTATGGATTAAAACAAGCTTCAAGACAGTGGTTCTTGAAGTTTGACCAGACAATAAGAAATTTTGGGTTTAAAGAGAATGTAGAGGACAATTGTGTCTATACAAAGTTTAAGAATGGGAAGTTCATCTTCCTTGTCCTGTATGTGGATGATATCTTACTTACTAGTAGTGATGTCAGTCTACTACTGGAGACAAAGAAGTTTTTATCCTCAAAATTTGATATGAAAGATCTTGGTGAAGCTTCGTTTGTTGTAGGGATCGAAATTCACTGAGATAGAAGTAAAGGAGTATTAGGACTGTCACAAAAGGCATACATAGAGAAAATCTTAAAGAAATTCAGTATGCACAAATGTAGTCCCTCACCTGCTCCTATAGTCAAGGGCGACAGATATGGAGATTTTCAATGCCCTAGAAACTAATATGAGATAGATCAAATGAAAGCGGTTCTATATGCTTTAGCTGTCGGAAGCTTGCAATATGCTCAAGTTTGTACGCGCCCTGACATGGCATTTGTTACCAGGTTACTTGGTAGATTCTAGAGCAATCCTAGAATAGAACACTAGAAATTAGTAAAGAAAGTCTTGCGTTATTTGCAAGGAATGAAAGGCCTCATGATGACGTATAGAAGATCAGATTCACTCCATATAGTAGGGTATTCAGATTCTGATTATGCGGGAGATGATAGAAAATACACGTCTGGATATGTATTCACTCTCGCAGGGGGAGCTATTTCATGGAAAAGCTCAAAACAAACCGTCACTACATCGTCCACAATGTATGCCGAGTTTGTAGCATGTGAGGCAACGGGGCATGTGAACTGGCTAAAGAAGTTCATACCCAGTTTGAAGGTGGTTGACGACATCTATAGACCACTAAAGTTATACTGCGATAATAATCCGGTAGTACAGTATGCTCACAATAATAGGTCAAGTGGTGCTGCCAAACACATTGACATAAAGTATTATGTTGTGAAAGATAAAGTTCGGGATCATGTTATAAGTCTTGAGCATATAAGTACCGAAAAGATGCTCGCGGATCCGCTTACAAAAGGCTTACCACCCAACGTGTTCAGAGAACATGTAGCCGGTATGGGTTTAAGGGAAAGCCTATAATTTCTGAACAAAAGAAGGCCCAAAGATAAGTATCTATTTCAGAACAGATAGGTGTGTTGTAGCTGTTAAATCTATCGGCAATTGACCGTGACGATGAAACATGCTCTATGCGCTGATCTATAATGGAATGAACAAAAGTAAATGATATGAAAGTGAAAGATGGTAGGAGATCAAGGGGGAGATTATTAGATTGATTTCAATCCTAAACTGGGCCCAATGGCCTAGTTGGGCCTTTGATCCGCGCCCTGATCGGGGGCTCCCAGCCCACTATGGCTAGAGGGCCTCTGTCACACTGCGCAATAAATAGAGGTAGGGGCCGGCGGCTCAAGTCACGAGGTTCGCTTGAGCCGAGCTCCCCATCGACAAACCCTAAACCCGATCTAAGTGAGGGGCGCAGCCAGTGACGGGAAGTACCTCCACCACTGCACTGAGCCATCATTGATCTTCACCGCCGGCACTGCATCTCCGACCTGTCTTCCTCGGCCATCGCTGCCCGTGCGCAGACTTCACCAACGAACCCGATGGCGGCCTCTGAACCCTCCCCCTCCGTAGTGTCAGGTTCGTCAGACCTCATCCACTCCTCTCTGTCTCTCTCGTTGCACTAGAACGTGTTCTAGGTTTTTCATTCGTCTAGTAAATATTTAGCACCCCGGCTAGATCTACTCCTAGACGATCCGAATAGTCTAACATTGCCGAGTGCCAATGGCACTCGGCAAAGCCCCAAAAACACTCGGCAAAGCGTTTGCCGAGTGTTACACTCGGCAAAGGTTTTATCGGCAAAGAGTTGTTTGCCGAGTGTCAAATGTTGGGCACTCGGCAAAGACTATGCCGAGTCCAAAAAAACACTCGGCAAACATTTTTCGGGAAAAAATAAAAATAAAAACAAGTCCCGCCGCCGCCACCACCACCACGCCCTGCAGCGTTGCCGGATCCATGCCTTGGACCCACACCGGCCGCCGCAACCCCATCGTCGCCGGCCTGCCGCCGTTGCGTCAGCGGCTCCAAAGCACGCAATAGGGCAGGGCGGCCAGAGCTCGCTGCCGCAGGGGAAGCGCCCATGCCAGGGCAAGGCGCCGCTCGCCTCCATGTGAAGGGGCCGCGTCGGGGACGCCACCGGATCCCACACCACACATCTCTTCTTCTTCCTCTTGAATCACCGATTGTCGGGGATGGGGCAGAGGCTCTGCGCGCCACCGAGGATGGCCTGCGCGCCCGCCGGGGAAGGAGCTCGCGCTGACGACGATGGCTTGCGCGCTCACTAGAGAGGAGCTCGCGCCGGCAACCGGCCATGGAGCAGGGGACGAAGCGCCGCGGAGAGAGGAGCTCGCGCCGTCGACCGGCCATGGAGTCGGAGGAAGCCACCGGAGAGGAGCTCGCGCGGGATCCACGCCTTGGACCCACGCTCGACGCAAGGGCGGGGCCGCACCAGAGAGGGAGGGGAGGGGCGCCGGAGGAGGGGAGGGAGGGGAGCGGTGCGGGCGGGTGGATCTAGGAGGAGGGAGGGGAGCTGAGGGGAGGGACGGGGTGGATCTAGGAGGAGGGAGGGGAGCTGAGGGGAGGGACAGGGTGGATCTGGGAGGAGGGAGGGGAGCGGCGCAGGCGGGCGGATCTAGGAGAGGGAGGAGGGAGGGGAGTTGAGGGAAGGGGCGACAGCGGTTAATTAATTGGTTTTTTTCCTTTGCCGAGTGTCCTATATCTGGGCACTCAGCAAAGTTTTTTTTCTTTTTTTCTTCTCCTTCTTTCCCAGAAAAAATATTTTTTTCCTTTGCCGAGTGTCCTAGATCTGGGCACTCGGCAAAGTTTTTTTTCATTTTTTTTCTTCTCATTCTTTCTCAGAAAAAAGTTTTTTTTTCTTTGCCGAGTGTCCTAGATCTGGGCACTCGGCAAACTTTTTTTTTTTTTTTTTTCTTCTCATTTTTTTCCCAGAAAAAATATTTTATTTATTTACCGAGTGTTTTTTTTACACTCGGCAAATCTCTCTTTGTCGAGTGTTTTTTTTTACCTAGTGTTTTTAGCGTAGCACTCGACAAAAAACTTGTTTGTCGAGTGACCGAGAGAATACACTCGGCAAACATAAAAACACTCGTCAAATTTGACGTTTCCGGTAGTGATGTCGATGGGCAGGATCTGGTGCCCAGGTTTGTCGAGGAAGAAGAAGATGACGAGCACGGAGACGAGGCAGCAGGAGCAGATGCAGCGGAGGACCCATCCGTGCCAGCTGCTGTAGGCGACGGGCGCCATGGTGTACACCATATCGTAGATGAAGTTGAGCTCCACCTCGATCACCTCGAACACCTCGCTCACCTTCGTGTCAGGGCGCTCCAGGAAGAAGGCCTGGCTCTGCCGCCGCTCCTTGAAGCTGAGGATGAGGTTCACGAAGAGGCGCCGAAAGACAAGGAAGAACTCGTACGCCCGAGCCTCCACGCTCTTGTCGGTATTCAGCACCAGCCGCGTCGTCTCTTGCTTCTCCATCTCCTTGTGTGCTTCCTCGGCCTCGCCATTGGTTATGTCGATCTCGACGACCAGGCCGACCTTCTTCTTGGAGTCGAACTCCGTCATGAGCTTAGCGTGAATTGGGCCCGGTTACTGGCGGTCGAGGATCTTGTTTCGAAGCCGTCGACGCTGCCGGAGTAGAGGGAGTAGGTGCGCTTCGCCGTGCTTGATGATGATGCCGACGACGAACATGAGCACGGTGGCGTGGATCATGGGGTTTGCCGTGCGAGGAGCGAGAAGAAGACGACACAGCGGAGAAGAGCTCGAAGAGGAGGCCGATGAGGTGGCGGAGCCACAGCTCGTTGTCCTCCAGCGAGTAGGCGGTGATGGTGTCTGGCCCGCCTAGGTGGAGCAGCAGGAACGGCGTCCAGAACGCGAAGATGATGGGGCTGCTGCTGCCGCTGCTGCCGTTGTTGCCCGTGCCACCTCCACCGCCGCGCTTGAGGCCGAAGCTGGACGAGGAGTTGCCGCCGCCGCCGCCGATGTTGCCCATGTTGTTGAGGAGGAGGCCGAGGCAGGCCCGACCCTAGGGGGTTCAAGCTGTGCCCCTGCACTGGGCCCTCGAACCAAAGGGGCCCAACTCCATCCGTGAGAACGGAAACCTGAGAAGGGAAGCCTGAAGCCGTCCGCTACATCCAGTGTCCGTGAAGCCGCATCGTTGCGCCCTCGCCGTCGCCGCAACCTCGCCGCTCCATGCGGCCTCGTCGCGACTTCGTCACCTCGCCGACAAATGACCTCGACACGGTACCGGCCGCGAGCCACGTGTGATTCCGGACGACGCGAGTGGCGAGTCCATACGTGAGGTGTTTCAGACTTCCCATTCAGTGCATTATGTTTGCCCAATCGCTCCTAATCCTTTGTTGATCTCAATTTCATATATTTAATCAATGTTTAATTTGCTTTTTCCTTCAATTTCTATTCTTTGGAGCACAAGATTTGAGACGCTTGTGCACACGCTGCAGCTAGGGCAGTGTGTGACCTTACACTATTTAGTGAATAATTGTTATCTCAATTTCTCAACTAGGTAATGTACTAACTCTGTTGATTTTAATGTTGAATCTAGCACGGCATAATTTTGGTAAATTACTTGCTAATTGTTCTAAAATTTTAGTGGCCTCATGTTTCTTGAAAGCAAACATTTGACAGTGAAAGAAGAGAAATGAAGAAATGTATAGAAGAGTTGATACAATGGTAGAGACGGTATATATTATAGCTATATTAGAGGGCCCATCTTTATGGCTCCGCTCTAGGTCACCGATTTGACAGGACCGGGCCTAGGCCGAGGGCGAGGTCGGCGACCCAGTCGGCGAGGAGGTAGCAGGACCAGACGGTGAAGCGGGGTATCGCAGAGGAGGAGCGCTTGTGCATGGGGCCCACGAAGATGAGAAACACCTGGAGGAGTTGTCGTCGTGCCGCGACGCTCGCCCGCACCGCAGAGAGAGGGAGAGAGGGAGCAGCGTTCGGTGGCTAATAAGGCACGCATGCGAGTGCAGGTGTGTCAGGGTCAGGGTATAGACGTGGGCAGATCGGGTCCAGGTACTGGCACGGTGCAGGTTGGGGTCCGTCCGGACAGCCGAACGTTCTCGTCCTGTCATTATCGTAAGAACTTGCAACATATACTAGCCGTCCAATACTCCAATTCCGCTAGCACGGTAGAGTAGCGCGTCATGAGCACCAGGCAAAGGGATGGTTAAGCAACAATTGTGGGAGTCACATTTCTAGTTTAGCATATATAATAGGATGCATACATATAAGAAACAAACTTTTATTATGGTCCTAGCTGACGATTAGCGTCAAACAACCAAATAACCACTGCGATAATATAATATAATACTCAACGCTCAGTAAATGAGCTAGCAACGATGGGATGGGATGGGATGGGCAGGGAATGAACGCGCATAGACGACGTCGACGATGAGCGAGCAGAGCTTCCTACGTACTACTGGTCTTTGACGATGAGCTTGGCCTTGGCGTCTCCCTCCTGGATCTGGTACATGTCGCCAAGCCCCATGTGCGCCATGAGGAACCAGACGAGCGTGATGAGCTCTCCGCCGCGGCTGAGCTGCCGGACGTGCATGCTGCCCCGGCACTTGCCCGCCGCGTACGTCAGCATCTCCCCCCACACCCCCGTGATCACCTCCCACTTGAGCTCGTCGTGGAGATTCCTGAGCTCCTTGGCCAGGATGACCCCGTCGAACAGCACCGACTTGCTCCGGTCGCCCTTCATCACCAATGGCTTCTCCGACGTGTTCACGCTCAGCAGCATCTTGCGCGCGTCGTCGTGGTCATCGATCCACGCCTCCATGGATCCGAAGAACCGGCGCGCCTCCTCGCACGTGTCCCGGTAGCGGAGCAGGCCGATGCCCGCCGTCGCCGCCAGCATCTCCGGCTGCTTGATGAGCAGGTACAGCATGTACTCCGACAGGGTCTCGCCGATGGGTCGCAGCCGCTCTTCGTCCGCCGTCGGTGCATTTTGCTCGTCCTGGAGGCCGCACAGGTCGGTGGCGATGTGCCACAGCAGCAGGGATTCGTCGAAGTCACTCTGCTCCACGCTGTCCAGGATCAGCCTGAACTTCTCCTCAGCGACATCGGCCTTGATCTTGTCGATGTCGTCCATGCTAAGGCGCTTCGCCTCGTCCTTCTCCTCGAGGGACTTCTTGATTTTATCCATGGCAAGGTGCTTCGCCTCGTCGTTATTCTCGATGGCCTTCTTGATCTCCGTGGCATGGTGCTGGATGACACGGTTGCCACGACAGTTGCACATCTCCATGATGTCCCCCTTTCCTTTCGCTTTCAGCATCTCGGCCGCTGGCTTGAGGCCTTCGAAGATGAAATCTAGGAGAGGAGGGGAGTCCTGCTTGTCGCCGCCGTCGTCCTGTTGCTTCTTGCCGCGTAGTGGCACGCGTTTGATGAAGACGAAGTCGTCCACGATCTCCTCGACGTGCATCTTCTCGGCGATCTTGTGGAGCCACCGCCGTCCACCTTTGTTACTGTAATTGCCCGGCTTGCCGAGGCAGTATTCGATGAGGTTCAGCTGCGATGTCTTCCCCGACCAGCGCCGCGCCCGCCACCGCTTGATGACCTCCCTCAGCCAAGCCAGCCACCTGAGACACCTGGACGACTCCAGGTACACCTGGGCGCGGTTGGAGAAGAAAATCATGAGCAGCGCCGACACGTCGAGCGCCAGCCCACCCAGCAGCAGCGCGTACGTGATGCCGACGTCGACGGGCAGGATCTGGTGCCCAGGTTTGTCGAGGAAGAAGAAGATGACGAGCGCGGAAACGAGACAGCAGGAGCAGATGCCGCGGAGCACCCAGCCTCGCGTGCTGTAGGCGACGGGCGCCTTGGTGTACACCATGTCGTAGATGAAGTTGAGCTCCACCTCGATCACCTCGAACGCCTTGCTCGCCTTCATGTCAGGGCGCTCCAGGAAGAAAGCCTGGCTCTGCCGCCGCTCCTTGAAGCTGAGGATGAGGTTCACGAAGAGGCGCCGGAAGACGAGGAAGAACTCGTACGCCCGAGCCTCCACGCTCTTGTCGGTATTCAGCACCAGCCGCGTGGTCTCTTGCTTCTCCATCTCCTTGTGTGCCGCCTCGGCCTCGCCATTGGCTATGTCGATCTCGACGACCAGGCCGGCCTTCTTCTTGGAGTCGAACTCCGTCATGAGCTTGGCGTAGTTGGGCCCGGGTTCCGGCGGGTCGAGGATCTTGTTGCGGAAGCCGTCGACGCTGCCGGAGTAGAGGGAGTAGGTGCGCTCGCCGTACTTGATGATGCCGACGACAAACATGAGCACGGTGGCGTGGATCATGGGGTTGCCGTGCAGGGAGCAGAAGAAGATGACACAGGCGGAGAAGAGCTCGAAGAGGAGGCCGATGAGGTGGCGGAGCCACAGCTCGTTGTCCTCCAGCGAGTAGGCGGTGATGGTGTCTGGCCCGCCTAGGTGGAGCAGCAGGAACGGCGTCCAGAACGCGAAGATGATGGGGCTACTGCTTCCGCTACTAGCGTTGTTGTTGTTGCCAGCGGTGCCGCCACCGCCGCCGCGCTTGAGGCCGAAGCTGGACGAGGAGTTGCCGCCGCCGCCGACGATGTTGCCCATGTTGTTGAGGAGGAGGCCGAGGGCGAGGTCGGCGACCCAGTCGGCGAGGAGGTAGCAGGACCAGACGGTGAAGCGGGGTCTCGGGGAGGAGGAGCGCTTGCGCATGGGGCCCACGAAGATGAGAAACACCTGGAGGAGCAGGCTCACCAGCACCGCCACCCGGATCTCCCAGTCGCTGTCCTGCTGTGGCACCGGAGGGTTGAAACCCATCGTCGCTGCCGCCGGCCGCCGCTACCTGCTGGACATGCATGCATGCATATTCATCAACAATTGGTCAATGCAGCAAGTGTGTTTCTACTTTACTTCTTCACTCCTATATCTCGGATGTCTTGTTATTGTTCAGTTAACATGCAGTTTTGTCATTTTTGAACGATAGAAAAACTATAAATTCTTTGTGAATTGTTTTTTTAACTTTGAATATAATTTTTGCTATATAATATTCTACTTCGTTGACTGAGATTCTGTCACGTCAAGAACGACTCAGTTGACTGACATTTTGTCATGTCAAAGAACGATGCAATTTTAATACCACTGGTTAATAGTTTGTCTTGAAACAAATTAAATGCATGATAAAGAATAGAAATAAAGAGCAAGTTGAGTGTAGGCCAGCTGATTAGATTACTTATGGTGAAAACTATCCACTCGAGTTTAAATCCTTACATTTATATAGATGAGTGTGTGCGCGCGCGCATGTATATGAATGTCTTTGTTATATTTTCTTATAAGAAAATATCAAGGACCATGTTTATATACTCAACTCAATTGTGTGTTTGCACACACTTTATACCTAGAAGAACACACGCAAAAGGTTATGATGATGAACAATTCATTAGCGTTTTATTATATAAACGAAAAATCCTTGGTTTCCACAAGACATGAACAAATGTACTCGAAACAACACTTGTTTAATTTGTCAATGGAGAGTAAATAAAATAAGGAAACACGCACATGCGAGCTAGCTAGAGAAGTGGCGCACCGTACCTGTCAGTTTCTTTCCTGCCGGCTGCCGGTGAATTTGGCGCCTCCTCAGCCAAGCGAACAGGGCAAGCTAGCTAGGAAACTGAAACTCCAACACATGCACATGCATGTATATGCCTGCTAGTATGAGCATGCAATGTGACGGCCATTCCGGCCTCTATATGCTTGCCTGCTGGTGTTGCAGTGTGTGGTGTGCGTGTGTACTACTACTGGTTTGTGAGTGCTGTGGCCTGCTGGTCCATCGATCTCGGCTACTCGATCTCCAACACATGGAATAAGTGTCTTTCGATTCTTTTATCTCTCTCTGCAAAAGTAAAAGAAGAAAGTGATCAAAGTAATCAGTATTATTAGCATGTAGGACCACTCACATGCATGATCAGACAAAAAGAATATCACATCGGTGTGCACCGCAAGGCATG